GCCAGAAAAGTTCTGGATTTTCGAGTTACGAGAGATACTGAGAGAGATTAAAAAATCAAAATATTTTTTAGATTCATGGACCCAATTGAATGCAATCGGATTTTCAATTCATATTTTAGTCTCCCAAGAACGATTTTTAAAACTGTTTGACCCACAAATTTGGAGTCTTATACTTTCACCTAATTTGCAAGGTTCAAAAAGAAATAGATCAATCAAGATTAAGGGAGTTTTACTAGTTTTCGTTGGCGTTGTTATATTTATATATCGTATTAGCAATCAAAATATGGTTGAAAGAAAGAATCTCTATTTAAAAAGACTTTTTCCTATACCGATGAATTGCAGTGAATCCATAACTGATCAAGATAGTGGTTATTCTACTCTAAATCGATTAAGTATTTTACTCCTTTCTTTTCCAAAAGGCAAAAATCAAGTTGATATTGATTTAATGAATCCAAACTATAATACTCGGGTTTTACCAATAAAAAAAAACCCTAACATGCCTCAATCAAAGTCAGATTCGCCGCAGGGGAAAAACTTTATTAGAGAAATTATTAGACGAACTAGAACGGAATTTAGAGAAATTCCAATGAAACTTCTTGGTTTCAATCTGGTATTCTTAAAAGAGAAAAAATCGCTTGAGTTTCCTTATAATTCCACAAGATCTAGTTCCTTACAAGTAAAAGATTTCGGCCAACCGAAAGGATCCTTGGATAGAAATTTTTTGGATTCTATTAGAAATGAGGATTCGGAATATTCTAAATTAATCAATCAAAGAGAAATTAAACAACGAAAACAAAGATCAACTTCTTGGGATCCTTACCTTTTTAAAACGGAACAAAAAGAGATCAAAGGCCGTAAACCAACGCTAAGCCTTCCGTTTCCGAAAGAAAGGGAACAATCTCGGGGCAATGCCCCGAGGTCCCTTTCTTCATTTTACTCTGATAGATGGTCAGAACTTTATATGGGATCAACTCCTATTGCTAAGTCCACTATGGATCCGAAATTTAGGAATAAATCTCTTTCTTTTGTCCGGCAAGCGGAAAAAAAAGAAATAGTTAATCTATTTAGAATACTTATGTATTTAAAAAGAACTGTTTTAATTAAGTCTATTTCTTTTGATCCCCAAATAAAAAATTCGAAGAATACTGGATTTCTTAAAAAAACTCCATTATTTTATTTTGTTAACCGATTTCTTGAAAGTAAACAAGGAAGCTATGTGCTACAACATGATTGGAAATCAAAAGAAAAATTACAAAAAAGTCCAGGTTTATTTATTCTGACAATAAGCGAGCCGGATCCAGTCTATAATAAGGGCTTTACTTTTTTTGTGAATATAGATTCATATGGATTGCATAAAATCAAATTATTGAATCAAATATTAAATACTAGGACTGACTCGAAAAATCAATCTTTGTTGGTTCTTTCGCCTATTTTTTTTCGTTATAAGGAGAAGAACTATTTTTTTCAACGAACGGGACAAAACTACGTCTGGATTGAAGCAGTGAATCAATGTATATCTATATTGATTCACAATCTGATTCAAATGCAATCTAATACCTATGTGTACATAAGAAATCTATTGAATCAATTTGTTTTCATAAATATATCCAATTGCAATTTCAAATATCGAATTAGGAGAATTCAAGGGGATCAAAAAGAAATGGGTCTTCTCAATCATCTAACTCATATGACATTTAAAATAAAAACGGGTCAACCATATAAATCCAAATGGTCAAATGGGACAAAGAGTTTACAAGAAAATTCAAAACATTTTCTTGATGAGCAGAAAAGACTTTTTAAAATGTATGTTCAAGTCCGAAAGGGCTATTTGCAAATGATGTTTGAGAAAGTTTATCAATTCTCTATTTATATTATTGATAAAATAACTGAGAAATGGATTTATTGGTCTAAGGTTCGCAGGGAAGTAGAAATCAAAGTAAAAAAAAATGTGTATAAGTTAATTCCTTTAGTTTTTACCAAGTTGTCGAAATCAGTACGTTTCTTCTTTTTGCCCCAGTCACTTCGTTTTTTTTTTTACGAAGGGATTTCACTGTATGATCAAGTTGCTTTTGTTTTTGTCTAATTCACTTGGTTTTTCCTTTGTAAGTTTTGGTACTAGTCCTGTTCAGAGGTCCGAAATCTATATCTATGAATTAAAAGGACCGAACGGTCAACTTTGTAATCAGTTGTTGGAATCCATAGGTTTTAAAATTATTTATTTAAAAAAATTAAACCCCTTTTTGTTGGAAGAGTCTGGTACGTCGAACTTTGTTATCAATGAAACAAAGAGATCACCCTTTTTGTTTAATAATATAGCAAAAGGGCGGATTGATGCATTGCTTACTAGACAAAAATATTTTGATGAAAAGGGTAATGGGTTTCATCCCATGAACCTATTTCAAAGAAGTTCACTGATATCCGCTTTTTATAAAGCAAATAGACTTTGTTTCTTTAATATTCGACCTAACTCTAACTTCTGGTTAGATTGTAAGAGAAGATTTCCATTTTCTATCGAAAGGGCTCGGAATACTAATTCGTATTTTCTCTATGAGCAATTTCTAAATAGATTGTTCCTTGGGAATCAAAAAGTTTCTTTAGGTGGTGGGAAAAAAAGAAAGGTTTTTGGGGTTGGGGATAGAGCTACTATTTCACTAATTGATTCCTTATTTAAGGATTTTGTCAAAAACAGTGATCCACGGTATAACTTTGAGAATTCTTTTAATTCTGTAAGGCAATCCGATCCAGTCATGCCTAATTTGATTCTCAAGACTTTTGGAACCTCTTCTACAGAGGAAGAAATAGTCAATTTGGAAACAACTTATTGTCAACCGTTTTCAGATATAAATAGAAATATATATGATTCAGAAGAAAATCACTTTCATGAATATCCTAATTTTAATTTAAATATGGATTTGGTTGACATTCCCTGTTCTGATAAATATTTTTCATTTCAAAACAAAAAAAATCGAAAAAAAGGCGCTGCGTTTCAGAAAAGACGGATGGCAACAACTTTTCATAGAGAGAATTTTTTTTCCATTCTATCAGAAAAATTAAATCTTTTCCAAATCAATTTGCCAAACTTCTTCACTTTGACAGGGTACAAATATCTCAATTCTCTATTGATAGATATAGTTTCAATATTAAATAGTAGGATATCTATTTATTGGGAAATTTTGGATTTATTATGGCAAATTGTTAAGATGAAATTGTTGCCCTTTTTTATAACAAGTGAAATCTCAAGTAAGTGGTTACATAATCGTCTTCTGGCGAGCGAAAGGTTGCAACGAAATACTAAAACATCAACATATTTTAGATCACCAAGTGGATCACCAAGTGGTTGGGCTTTTTTCGTTTCAATTCCTTTCCTTCTTATTGGTGTTAGTTATCTCGTTCTTATCAATCTTGTCTTTGTTTCTCGAGCTTTGAGAGAGTTAGATATCAAATTTAAAAAATTAAAACCTTTTCTAATTCCCTCATATCTAATTGAGTTTCAAAAACTTGTAGATAAATATCCTATGTGTCAATCAAATGAGTTTTGGTTAAATAATATATTTATATTTGGCTTTAACCAATTCGTACGTTTGTTAGAAGGAATCCAAGGTTTTGTTTTCGGTCTCAACAAGATTCATCTTACTTTGAAAGTGAAACCAAGACGTTTGACGAATAAATCTTTCAATATCCTTGAACATATAACTGGAATTGTTGTTTCTATAAATAGAAATATGCAATATATCAGTTCTATCAGTCCTAAAAGTAAAGAGCTCTATTCATTGATAAGAAAAAGAGAAAACGTGAAGGCAAATTGGATTGATGATCAAATAGAATCCTGGATCGTAAACAGCGATTCTATTCATGAGGAAGAAAGACAATTTTTGGTTCAGCTAGCCACTTTAACAACAGAAAAAAGAATTCCATCGAGTCTGACTGACAGGGATCATTTATTAAAGAATGACTTAGGTTATCCAATGATTGACCAACCGGGAGCAATTTATTTACGATACTTAATTGACATTCATCAAAAGGATCTAATGAACTATGAGTTTAATAGATCTTTTTTAGCAGAAAGACGCATATTCCTTGCTCATTCTCAGACAATGACTTACCCACAAACTTCGTATGCTCATTTAGCATGTCGTGGAAAGCCTTTTTCGCTCCGCTTAGACTTATCCCCCTCTAGGGGTACTTTAGTTATCGGTTCTATAGGAACTGGACCATCTTATTTGGTCAAATACCTAGCAACAAACTCCTATATGCCTTTCATTACGGTATTTGTGAACAAGTTGCGAGATAAGAGTCGTAAATTTATGGCTGATTTCTTTATTGATAATAGTATCAATATTAATGCTAGTGACGATATCAATATAACTAAGAGCGACAGTATTGATGACGATATGAATTGTGACCTTACTACGGAGCTGGAAATCCTAACTAGGATGAATGCGCTAACTATGGATAGGGAGATGAAGGCTGAAATAGATCGATTATCTATCACCCTTCAATTTGAATTAGCAAGAGCTATGTCTCCTTGCATAATCTGGATTCCAAATATTCATGATCTGGATGTGAATGAGTCAAATTCCTTATCTCTTGGTCTATTAGTTAACCATCTTTCAAAGGATTGTGCAAGAAGTTCTCCTAGAAATATTCTTGTTATTGCTTCTACTCATATTCCTCAAAAAGTGGATCCCGCTCTAATAGCTCCGAAAAGGTTGAATACGTGTATTAAATTACGAAGGCTTGTTAATCCACAAAAAAGAAAGTACTTTTTTACTCTTTCATCTAATAGGGGATTTGACTTGGACAAGAAACTGTTCCGTACTAATGGATTCGGGTCCATAACCATGGGTCCCAATATAGGAGATATTCTAGCACTTACCAATGAGGTTCTATCAATAAGTATTACACAGAAAAAATCCATTATAGACAATAATACAATTAGAGCCGCTCTTCATAGACAAACTTGGGATTTGCAATCACAGTTAAATTTGGTTCAGGATCATGGGATCCTTTTATATCAGATAGGAAGGGCTGTAGCACAAAATTTACTGCTAAGTAATTGTCCCGTAGATCCTATATCTATCTATCTGAAGAAGGAATTATGTAATGAGGCGGATTCCTATTTGTACAAATGGTACTTCGAACTTGGAAGAAACATGAAGAAATTTACAATACTTCTTTATCTTTTGAGTTGTTCTGCCGGATCGGTTGCTCAAGATCTTTGGTCTTTCCCCCGAGATGAAAAAAATGCGATCACTTCCTATGCACTCATTAAGAATGATTCTGATCTAGTTCATGGTTTATTAGAATTATTAAAAGTAGAATGCTCTCCGTTGGGCTCAGAACAAAATTATGGATCTTATTCTATTCTTGATCAGAGATTTCTATATGAAAACTACGAAGAGGAGGATTTTTTCAGTCACATAGTTTGGGCTCCTAGACTATGGCGTCCTTTGGGATTTTCTGTGTAGCGAGCAGATCCTTTATGGTCAAGAGAACGAGCTTCAAGAGAATGATTCGGAGTTCTTACAAAGTGGAACGATGGAGTACAAGACACGAGATAAATCTTCCAAAGACAAAGGCTTTTTTTCAAATAAGCCAATTTATTTGGGGACCCTGCAGATCCACTCTTTTTCCTATTCAAAGACCAGTCCACGGGCTCTTTGTTTTCACGTAGAGAATTTTTTGCAGATGAAGAAATGACAAAGGCGCTTCTTACTTCCCACACTTCTCAATGGGAGCATCTAATTCGATATAAAAAAACAAACGATTTTACTATAAGGAAGAAGGAACAAAAGCACTTCGAATTTGTGAGTCATCGTCAGAGATGGCTTAGAAATAATGGTTCATTTTATAATGAATCTTTCTGTTCTAGTACTCTATCCGAGAGTTATCACTATTTATCAAATATGTTCCTGTCTAATGGAACACTATTTGATCAAATGACAAAGACTTTGTTGAGAAAAAGATGGCTTTTCCCGGATGAAATGAAAATTGGATTCATGTAACAGGAGTTTAACAGGAGAAAGATCGCGATCCGCTGCCTAATTCCTGAATTACTTAAAAGAGCTCGGGTCGATCAAATC